TTAGATGAGGTTGGGATCGGTTGGCCATGTGGCTCAGTTGTGGACTTTAATTATTTAGTACGAATTTTGAAGCGAAAGTTCTCGGATAACAGTATCCGAAGATAAAGAGATGGGAAGATACGTGAAATTAAATTGGATTTTGGAGGAATAAGTTAAAGAATGCTTACTGGATTGAAGTGGCTATGGATGGTATCCACAGGTGCCGTGTAATGGCGGCTTTGAATATTGGAGTGAGCTTATCGAGGTTGCAGTTCTCACCCTTCCTCCCCTCGTTGCCATCTCGAATTTATCATATCGGCGTTTTGTGTGTTGTTGTTGGGGGGGGAGTCTGTAACCGCTCTGCCCTCTTTGTGGCGGGCGTTGAGACTTCTGGTTTCTGTCGGGTTCACTTTGTATGCTAGTTCTTAATGTCGGCACGAGCAGTGATCTCCCTCAGGTTGTTTCCGGTCTTGCTCGGGCAGGCAGAGTGCATAGTAATTTTTAACCAACATCTTTCTTTGGTACTTCTGTATTGCTTTGTCACTATTGAAAATTATATTTGTTAATTGTTTTTCCTCGCACTCCCACTTTGGAGGATAGGGTTGATTTATCACTTTCATGGATCAGTTTTAGAGATGGTAGGACTCCTTGGACGAGTGATCAACTCGTCGCATGGCCTCTACCTAAACACAGGACAACACAAGCACGGAATAAACACATACACACACCAAACATCCATGCCTTATGTGGGATTCGAACCCGCGATCCCGCCTTCCGAGAAATCGAAGACTGTACATGCCTTAGACCGCTCGGCTACCGTGACCGGCAAATCGTTAATTATAATCTTCACAAATACAAGTATTTTACGTCCATTCACTTCAAGTACCATAGTGTTTACAGCCTTTCCCCAACAGGAAGGCCTACACGAAAGTGTTTTACTAAAATAAGATTATATGCCCTTCCTTTTTGAAGGACAATACCCAAGTGCCTCAGAAGTGAGGCGTTTATGATGCTACCAAACACTTATGTTTGTAAACTTTGACCCCCTTTTTTCTTTGATTGGTTCAGTTTTGAACTTGAGTTGGTGTTCAATTCCCACATTGTCCAATCAACTACGTACTTTTCCGCTTGGGTATGACGACTTGACGTCATGTGTATTTGTTTTTTGTTTTTGTTCACATAGTCCGGCGTCCCCAGGGTGCGGTGCGCTCATTCTGGTCACTTGGCGATTATCACTGTGATATTAAGTTAACGGAAAAATGCATTGCTGTTCGTTATACTCTTTAACATTGTAAACTAAACCAAGTTGTTTTGGCGTTTTGTCACTTATAACTTCTCAAAACATGTTAATTACATTTATATTTTAAGTTACTCCTTAGATTGAACGATTGTGCTTCATAAGTTATCGGCAGTGGTTCAAGATGCTTAGTGGTTTGGTCCGCATTATGTTCTACTTCCGGCTTGCGGTTAGTCGCTGGCTTCCCACCGCGGCGGCCCGGATTCGATCCCGGGTCTGGTCAAGTGAGATTTATGGTGGAAAAAGTGGCACCGGGGCGGGTTTTCTCCGAGTACTTCAGTTTCCCCTGACAGTCTTCATTCCACCAAATTCTCCATCATCATAATCACCCGGGGCAGGCTACAATAGGCCATTCAGTGGCCGCCGTGCCGAGTGAACCCAGTTGGATTCCACCCCCACCCCCCACTAAGCGAATTAATTAGTGATGCTTTTTTTTCCCCCCTTGGCACTACAGCCCCAGTGGACCTAGGCCTACCTCCGTGAACTCCGTTCACTTCGGTTTTTCTAGATCTTACACTTACGGTAGGACTTCTTGGGCGAGTGATCAGCTCGTCGCAAGGCCTCTACCTGTACACAAACACAGAAAAACGCACACAGACATCCATGCCCTGAGTGGGATTCGAACCCACGATCCCGGCTTCCGAGCGAGCCAAGACAGTGCATGCCTTAGACCGCTCGGCTACCGTGACCGGCTGTGATGCGATTACTTTTCAGTTTTGGATGGATTAAGTTACTACTACTACTACTACTACTACTACTACCACCACCACCAATAAATCAGTGCTTTGCATATTTACGGGAGGAGCTCAACAGCCAGCGCCAATTACTGAGTCAGCACTGAACACAAGACAACAGTAGCAACGAGACAACACAGGACAAAACAAAAACAAGAACAGTAGCATCAACAGCAGCAACAATTAAATTGAGCTTCATCCGCGGATGGAACATTTTGTCTAGAAGGTGTTCATATTACGGAACACTAGAGATATGGCATTCACAGCATCAGGACTGGGTTCATGAAAATCAGCAATTCGGAAAGTCGGTATGCCTAGACTGGAGGTTTTGATCGAGTACCGGTGTTTTGCCGCCATCCATTATGACTTCCTGCTTTTCAGATCTGGGAGTGAAAAGGGACTGTTCTCATTGCATCAAATTGATACGAGGAAAGGCTCAGATGTAATGACATGGTGTGTACAATTTGAATAGTAGCCTATTTCGTTACATATCCGTAAACATCTAATAGAATATAAGAGATACTTCTAATAGCAAAAAATGCAACTTACCATGGCGCAGTTTCTCTGTCACAGTTTTATCAAGATGACGGATGCTACTGGAGAAGTGTTAACGGTTACTGATAGAAGGGAATAGAAACATTGGGTAATGTACTTGGTCAAGTGAAAGCGCGATACGTTTTATTACCAATAGGTCCCGCTGATTCTGCGTCGGCTCTTCCGTACACTTGTGTTCTTGAGAACTGAAACCTGCCGGACAACCACAGTAAATTTACCATGTGGTTTGTTGCTCCATGACAGCACTGCATCAATTTATGAAAGTAATTTCTGGGTTGCGATTGTAGAGTGGCGGGGTTATGCGAATTCTCGGCGTAACTTTACACGCCTTGAGCCATTATTACTGATTTTCAGGAAACGTTCTTTAGGATGCTAAATTACAGTCAGACATCCGACACAGGTCCGACTGGATGTTCAAAGTTTGGTTTCCCTTTCACAGCCGAACGGGTTGACACGACAATTTACATGATTTCTGATCGCAACATATGTTTTAGAATTCCGCTGGGCACCGCGTAACCTGGCAGGCCTTTCGTGTTTCACTTTAATCATAGACTAGCTCTTGGTATATGCCTTCGTCGAAACCACGTCCTCATCCTACCGACTTCGCTATATATAATAATTCTCTCGTCTTATTCGATTCTGAGTGATACTTATCGCAAAATAATACACGGATGAGTGTAAAGTAAAGTAAAGTAAAGGTATCCCTGTAACAAGCCGTGGAGACCCATACCGTTGTGAGATGTTGAGGCTCCCACATTTTCTAGACAGTCCGCTCATATATGGCGGTAAGGTTGTCAGCCCTACGCGCCGGCCGCCCTTTACCCTGAAGAACATTTCAAGAATATTCCTAGTACTCATTTCTGTTAGAGGCTGAGTCAACCCCAGGGCCATAGTGCGGCTGGAAGGATTAGGTAAATTGAAAAAAATTCAATGACCTCATCGGGATTCGATTCCGCGACCTTCCGGCTTGTAGCATAGTGCCTCAACCAACTACGCTACCGGGTGCCCCACATGAATGAATGAATCATCGAAATTATTACAAGAACGATATACAGAAAAATTTCTATTCTTTTCTTTTGTAATCATTTTCATAGGCGATCGAAATTCTGTCAAGCAGATCGTTCCTCATTCACATTTCACAAAATCGAGCAACGAGTTCCCGTACTCTGGTTAATTTCACTACAAGGTTAATTGCGATGTTCAAGGAATTCGTGTTGTTTCTGTGCGCTGTCCTTTGAAAGCCCGAAGTTTGCAAAATGCACGTAAATAGAAGTGTTTGCTGTAAGCTTTTACACGACTCAGACGTCAGAAGCTGCCCCAAGTAATGAGAGCCGTCTTCTTTTTGTTTGGTTCTTGGCAGAAGCAACGTCACTGTATAGCTGAATGTCATCGAACTCGGGTAGTACCGTAAGGAAGGCGTGGCGCGTGCCCCACGGTTCAGAAGAAAATGGTTACAGTTGTATTTGTAAGGGACAGACTGTGCATATTCGTAATTTATTTAATCCAGTCACAGTATTCAGGCATAATTTCTTAGCCCCAGATATGTTTCTGTAATTATACCAGCAAAATCGAATATATTTTGAGTGTTATTCGTAGAGGGCACATATTTCTAGTAGAATTGTATTGCAGGAACTGGATATATTAACAAATTTGTGGTTTCTTTTTTGGCAGATTTCATAAAATTCTACTTTCTTTCCATCAATACCCGACAATTTTTCATTCGATGCTAAATAATGTGTGCATTTGTAACGGAATTATAAAACAAATGAAGGGGCATAATTGACACATTTTATTTCCATGCATAAACTATGGTTCTAAAGCACAGCATCGAACCTGTACACAGTGTTCCAATGTCATTACAGTTACACACTGGCTTTTACAAAGGCTGTCATGTTGTATGAAATGCCCAGATATATTTGAGGTCATGGTAGGTTGTGTTACTGCACAGTGAACTTAAAGTACAGCAGCTCCACAGGCACAAAGTATATCTCTTTACTGGCTTAAATTGATAACATTTCGGTAAGAAAATTTTATATATAATCGCAAGACCAGCTGGGCCTAAATCAGAGCTGTTGCTGTTGATGATAATGGCGATAATATTATACATTTTGATCTTAATCTGCATAATCTTACTTGCATGGACTTGTTAAATTATTAATTGCATTACTGCAAGGAACTCGTAATTCCCTGTAATTCCTTCCTGTGTTGGTTATGTATAAATAAAGCAAGCATGGCCCTTTTTTGGGGGCTTGCTAATGTGAAATCTGACCATCACCAGTATGTGAGAAACAAACCAATGCTGTAATACTTGTGATAAGTAATTCATGTTCATTTATCTGCAACTGGTAGCTACATTATTTGAAAATACTGACTACTTTTCTTGTAAGAAACTCTCTGTCACTATAAATAACCTTCTGTTTTGTGCTGCTTTTCAGAATCCCCTTGGGAGATGGACAGCTTCAGTAACGTGTTGGAGGGTGCACGACAGTACTTCCAGGGTCTTCCATCCCCTGCTGGCAGTTCATCATACCAGGCACCTCAGGGTAGTTCCAGTGTGAATGAGGCTGCCATCAGTAACTCTCCTCGATACGGTAACTCCGATCCCGGAACAGTTGGCAACACTCCTCACTATGACAGTGTTGGTCATAGACCAAGTGTGGTTGCAGCAAATTCACAAGCACCTGCAACAGCACCAACATTACCACCCCAGTCGCAGGCACACCATCATCATCAGCAGCAGCAGCAGCAGAATGTTGCGACTATCGCTTCCTCAACTTCTTCCACGGTGGTATCCTATTGGCCACCAGCATCGACCAACTCTGTCTACCAGAGAACCAAAGACCTTTCAGTATCGCATCCTGGTCCACCGCCATCACAAGCTCAAAATCCTTATGCGCCATCAAAGATCCCTGTGGTGTCTTCACCATCACAAAGTGTGTCACACACAGTATACAATGGAAGCAGACTGGCGGTTCCAGAGCCACGGACAGTGAACTACCAGCATCACAATCATATGCAGCAGCAGCACCAACAACAACAACAACAACAACAACAACAACAACAACAACAACAACAACAACAACAACAGCAGCAGCAGCAGCAGCAACAACAACAACAACAACAACAACAACAACAACAACAACCCCGACCACAGGGTCATAACCTTCCACCAATAGCTGCATTACCAAACTACCATTCTTCTCGCAATGCAAGAGAGTCCTCACACAGATTGAGCCAGCATCACTCTCAGTCTCAGCAGCATATGTCATCAGGCACAGTACAAGCTCACCAGATCTCTAATAAGATGGCAGTAGCTAGCCCAGTAACTCTGATAAACCCTCAGTCAGATTATGCTCCTCAGTCACAACAAAACCATACTCAATACACTGGCACCAGTAACACTGGTGCAGCAGTTGGAAATGGCAGTGCTGGTATGTTGCAATATGGGTTACATCGCGGACCAAAGTATCAACAGCAGCAACTTGGTACAGCTCCACCCACATCAACAGCATACAATAATTATACCTCACCACAGATGCCTCAGCAACAGGCTGCTTCTACTTCCATTCCATCATCATCAGCTTCCTCTTCATCTTCCAGTTACCAGTCTTCCCTTCATCACTCCCATCAGTTGCAACAGCAGCAGCAGCAGCAGCAGCAACAACATCAGCATCAACAACAACAGCAACAGCATCATCAGCAACAATACGCTTATCACCATCCTCATCATAGGCAGAGTGGTTCATCTCATTCCTCACAGCCTGAGCTTAATTTAAAGCCAGATCAACATCAACAAACAAACCCATCAAAACATCAGTTTCAAACACAGGTATAAAATATAGATTGTTTAGATCACTGATTCTGAAACTGTATTCCAGTTGGGGGGGAGTTTGAAGATTAGTTTCTCTGATGACATAAGTCATGGTTTCTCAGATTTTTGGATGTTGTACCCCAGGGGGTTGTGACCTACTCTGAAGGTGTCACCAGGTTTTCAAGGATTATTTAAAATACAGTTGTATCCTAGGACAGTTTTGGTAAGCAAGTAAATTAGTATGATTTAGTGTGTTTCTGGAAAACATAGCTGCAACTGGCGAAACATTTTTTTAATATTTCGTGATTGTACAGGAATGTATAAGGGCTGGACGTTCTTGGCCTTTGCACCGTGACACAGTGATCTATTGTGCCTCTTGTACAGGTTGCTTTATGGATTATTTTAGATGTAAAGAGGTTGTAAGTTATTAGGTTCCTACTATCACTGTACAGCCTGATAAGGGGGACCTGCAACAGTGTGCAGAACTGCACTTTTCAAGACTGTACGGGAACACTTTATAGCTTTACTTAGGTATGGAGAAGTTATTTTTATAAGTTCTTGCTGTCACCATAGGAGGTAGTATCGGAAAGTTCCCAGACTGTTATTGTTGAAACTGCCTCAGTGAAAGATGAGAGGGGAGGCCAAGATCACACTTTCACAAGCCTAAAGCCTATTGCATCAGTCTGCCACGTGACGTCATGATGTGAACAAGCATTGTTTTACATGAGTGCTTTTTCGACTTCATGTTTCGGTTCGTCTGCGATGGGTGGAAAAATCGAGCAACATGTCTGAATCAACTTTTGCTTGAAGATCGGTAAATCCGCTACCAAAACCCTTGAAATGCTTCGTGAGGCTTTTGGAGAACATTCTTTAAATCGGACAGTGGTTTCTGAATGGAATTCACGTTTCAAGGTCAATCGAGTGTCAGTTGAAGATGACAAACGTTCAGGGCGACCAAGGACCAACAAAATGACAGAAAACATTGACAAAATTCGAGAATTAATCAACGAAGACTGTCACCGAACAATCCCTGAGTTCACAGACACTGGGGGGGATCAGTTATGGAGTATGCCAGGCGATCTTAACAGAAAATTCGAACATAAGTTGCAATGCTCCTTCATCACGACAACGCACCCGACCACATGTCCCTGAAAACCACAGAGTTTGTGACTAATGACAACATAGTTAATCATTCCCCATCCTCCCTACCAGCCGTGATTTCGCTTTGTTTTCCAAAATGAAACTGAAACGGAAGGGACGCTCTTTTGAAACGGTGTCTGTCATCCGAAGGGAATCACAAGCGGTACTCGACAGCATTAAGGAAAATGACTTCTGCGGTGCTTCTGAAGCATGGAAAAAACAATGGGATCACTGTATACGTTCCCGAGGAGATGGCAGCTAAAATTGATGAATAAGTTAAGTCAGCATTTCTTTTTGACATGGTCCTGGAACTTTCTGATAGAACGTTGTACAGCCAGGGAGGGACTTGAACAATTTGCAGAACTACACTTTCTGCTGATTGGCAAAGATGGGTGAGGGGTGGGTGGTCTGGCTAACTGTATGTATTATCTTTAATGGGACTGTAGTATTACAAGGTTTGAGAGAACCCCTGACTTGTATAAATGTTAACCCGAGAAGTGATTTCCTGTTACAATTACGTCTGAAAAATTGGAGTTCTGCGTCAGTAACATGGAAGAGAAGAATTTTGTGTTCATTCTTAATGTGGATGATTTTGTAAAAACAAAACAGGATTTGAGCTGGAAAGAATATTTTTGTATACATTGTCAAGAATTTCAGTGAGTTATATACTGCTTTGTTGTAATATTTATCTTAAGAAGATTATATTGGCTAGGTGCAAAAGAAGGTCTGTTCCAGTGCATGAAACTACCACAAAGTCACAGTATACATTTGTGCATTTCTAAGTCATCTCTTGTATGCAGCAAAATACAATTGTAAAACTGCCACTTCACATGTCAAAATATTGAATCTATACCATAAACAGATATATCATTGTTATGTCTGTGGTGACTGAGAAGTGTGGCATATACTAAAGTGACAGTTTTTGCTTTGTTTGGCCATTGAAATACTTTGAAATCTAGGTTCTCTCTGACTCTATGAAACATTCAGTTAATGAACAAGGAAATGTATGAAAACCATATCCATATCCAAAATGTCATATATGTAGGTACAGTTAATGTCTCTGTTCTCTGCAATATGTCAAATGATTTCAAGTTGATTTACGCTGTAATTTAGATAAACTAATTTCTGCACGTCATCACGCTGTCACCACCATCTCTATCACCTACACACCACTACCATCACCACTGCCACCATACACCGCTGTCAGCACCACATCACCATTGCCACCATACCACCATCACCATCACTGCTGCCTCCACCAGCACTACGCTACCACACCATCACCACTGCTATCACACAGCATCAAACCATCAGCATGACCATTATGGACTGCATTACAAGATAAAATAAGAAGTGAATTTGAAAGTAGGCCTTTGTTTAAAGTGGTGCTTTGTGTCAGGTTGAGTTAAAAGTGTAATTTTGCTATTATTTTTGTTACTTTAGTCTTCAGTTCATGATTATGTTTTGTCTTCTCTCTCACTTGTAGCCATTCTACAGCTCCAGTGCTCCAGGGCGGCCACAGTCTGCGGCTGTCCCACCTCTCAGCACAAGTGTTATAGCCAATGGACATTCAAGGACATTACCACCATCTTCATCGGCAGCATCTTCTGCGCGGACTGGCAGAAATAAGCGTGAATCCCCATTAGATCTCTCCGTGAAAACCGTTCGGCAGTCAGCGGATTCAACTGCGAAAGATGACATGGAAGGTGGCTATAGTGTGCCTAGTTACCCACCAGCTGCCGTGGATCACCAATCACGAGGGAAGGCGGGAGCAACCTCTACAAAGAGTCGCACCCCACAGCAGGGTGCAGTGCCAATGCCACTTCAACTTCCCTCCAGTGTGGCCTACCCCTCACTTGATGCTCATGGTGCAAGACCCATCTCATCTAATACTCCTGCTGTTCCTGTTACAGGAGTAACTACTCCTAGTGTTGGTGTCCCAAAAGTTAACTTTCATCCCAACTTCGGAGTTTCACAGCACAACTCAATGGCACCAGCTAGCTGTGTGTCTGAGAGTCAACAGAGATCAGGTGGAAGAACAAATTCCTTTCATCACTTATACTCTCAGTCATCATCAGTAACTCCACTGCCACATGTTGGCAGTTTCAAGAAGAATTCTTCGACTGTCGTGAATCCTGTACTGGAATCCTATGAACAGAAACAGCCCCAGTTTTACGGTACTATATCACAGACACAACATAGGCACACCAGTAATAATTCTACCACTGGCTCAGCGATGCTTCCACCTTACTCGACTCCTTCAAATAACCATTACCCTCCAACTGGTTATGAAAATGCTAAAAGGATAGCAGATCCAATGCAGAATTATGGGGGCAGTCGATTAATAGACATCCAAAGTCGAGGACCAAATCAGAACAGTGCAGCTTATGCAGTAAGTTCGGTAACTGTAGGACAGAAACGTGGTGGTGAGATGAGGCATCCATCTCTGGCAAAAGTACCTCGGCTGGACACTTGGAAGCAGACAATAGATCAGGAGATTGAGCAACGATTCTCTTCATATACTTCATCTAAAGCACAACAACAACATCAACATCAACATCAGCAGCAGCAGCAACAACATCAGCAACAACATCAGCAACAACAACAAGTTAATGGAAACCTTGACAGTGCCCGTCATGAGCCACAATACATATCATCTCACCTTCGCCAACATCAGCAATCATTGCTACATCATCAGTCACAGCAGTTAAATCATCAGCACAATCCTTCAGGACACCCTCGAGTTGGTACACCAGCTGCTGCCACTTCAGCAAACCAACCTCAGCGTGTCTATCACTCAACACCTCAATCCTCTCACTATGTTCCTAGCCCTGTCCATCAGCAATACCCAACACCTCATGTGGGGTCACAACCTATGACGCAACAGCCTCCGCCTTCACGGAGTCATGCTCTCCAGAGACTTCTCACAAATTCAAGTTCAGGGTTACTGCCACAGCAGACAGGTGGTAGGAATAGTTCCACCACAGGTGCAGGTGGTGTGGCAGATAAAAGAGTGCTCAGTATTCTCCGAAATAGTTTGGAGATCAAAGAGGCACGAATGACTGAGTTGCAGAATCAACTGCAGCAACAGCAACAGCAACAGCAACAGCAACAACAGTCTGTGCTGGCACACCATCATAATAAGCAAATGAGTAATCAGTATCAGCAAGCAAATCATCAACCTGCACCCTTGTCAGAATCACCAGTACAGGTTCTGGCACACCAGAAACCATCACCAGCACCCCCAGTTATGGGAAGGCATAATCTGTCATCATTCAGTGTAACACTTGACACTAGTAACTCCCAGAAAGCAGCACAAGTTCAAGCACACAAAATTCATGTGCCAAAAGCAGTTGAATCTGTACCTTTTGATGCAGAAAGTGAGAGTGTTACTTTGAGAATGTCTAATAATGATGCTCCAGGAGTTGTGAGGACTGATATACTTGAAAACAATCATAGTTTTTCAGTTAGCAGTAATGGTTCCAATTCTGGAGATCCTGATGGATTTGCTGCATACCTAGCAGCTCGCATCCGAACAAAAGCAGAATTAAAACAGGTAAGAGAATGTATTTCATATATGGTAATCCAAATTGTGATGTACTGTATACAGAGTGTTTCGTGACTTTAGGGCATAACTGCAGGAGGTGATTTCCTAGGTCTTTGTGATCAAAAAAGTTCATATAAATATGTGTCCGATTTTGGATGGTTACGGAGTTATGGCCGTTTTAAACTCAGAATAGAAGGTAACGATTACTGACAATAAACGGAACAAAATAATAAACCAGCATAATACATGATACGTACATACATGATATGTACATGATATGTACATACGTACATTTAAAGTATGAATGTAAAGTTAATTTCGTGAAATTACCTTTAATTTGAATGTATTGGTGCTTAAAGCTGATTTTTGAAAATGCCACTGCCGGACAGGCTGCTGCTCGGTTGTGAACCGCGCGGGTACATACCAACCCACCACACCTTAGGTAGCTCTCAAGTGTCGAGATAACGAGAACGCTCTGTCTGTAGCTGGCTAAAAATACCGACCCGTCAGATGATAGGCGCGGTTCACACGAGGGCGTGTACGGGAATGAAAAAACTGTCATAACTCCGTAACCGTCCAAAATCGGACACATGTTTATATGAACGTTTTTGATCACAAAGACCTAGGAAATCGCCTCCTGCAGTTATGCCCTAAAGTCGTGAAACACCCTGTATACAGTTATACAGTAAACAGTTTGAGGATGTTTGAGAACAAAGTGCTGAGGAGAATATTTGGTTATGAGAGAGAGGAAGTGACAAGAGACTGGAGCAGACTGCATAATACGGATCTTTGTAATTTATAGTCCTCAGTAGGTATTATTAGGATGATCATATGACAGAATAGATGGGACAGACACATGAGCTAAGAGGAAGACAGAATTTTAGTTAGGCAGTTTGACAGGATGAAACAACCTAGGAGACTAGCGTAGAAAGGAGGATAACATTAAAATGAGCAGTGAAAACTTTTGGTGTGAAAGTGGATTTAAATGTCAGAGAATGTTTTGGCCAACTGAGGGACTGTCAGCTTCTCAAAAAGGACTTTTTGCTCCATTGAGTTAGTTAAAAGCAAATTACCCCTCATTAGTGCACACCTTATGTACTGTCTTGAAGTTGAGCTTTGGAAGATGTAAACTTACATTATCTTGGATAGAAACAGGAGTTCTGTATTTGTAGAAAACCAAAATTTGCAATACTTCATTGATTTATACACCACATTTCAGTTTTATTTTCATGTATTAAATATATCCATGCAACAGATTTGTTAAACTGATAATTAGTATTGGAATCACGTGGAATGCAGAACAACATGTTTTTTGCATGTTTCCCAGGATAATGAACTTTCAGTTATCCATTCTGTGTGTCATTGAATTTGTGTGTGAATTTTATATGTATATATAGCTTGAAGTATGAGAAAATACCAATTTTTATAATCTGTTCTTATTATTTTTGTGATCATTTTTTCTTTTGCATCCAAATGGAACTCTTTCCCTTCTTCAGAACTATACACTGCATATATGTATCTTGTCTGCCTGTTCATTCCTACAAGACAGCTTCTGAATGGCAAGTATTTCTGAAGCTTGATAGCATTGATGAGATGATGGCTTCAGATGTTTGTTCATTGTAATGGTTTCTTCTGAGTATTATATACGAGTTATAACACAGTTAATTTGGAATAGAAACAACAAATCTATATTTTACATTGTTTAACAATATGTAACCACTGTAGAGATTATACACAGTGCTGAATTGGATGAGAGTATGTGGGTGGGTTGGGAGGTATGTGATAAGTGTTTGTGGTGTGTATTAAGACCACAGACCAGAATTTGCTGATATTGACAGTACACAAGTGATAGATAATATTTTCCTTTTTTAACACCTAGTTACTTTTCCCCCCATCCAGATATTAGCATCTAATAGTAGTGGTGCAATTAATATTTATTGTTGTGTTTTATCTAGGTTGGTCTAGAGCAGCTGGGTGGTTCTCAGCAGCAACAATTCCGGTCTCCTACACCAGCTTCTAGTGTCATCTCTGCTTCCAACAGTTCAGTGCATTCCCCCCGGACGACTCCAGGCACGCCTATGGTGTTTTCACCACCACCACCACAACAATCTGTGCAGGCATCTGCTGATATTGTGTCAGAAAGTATTCTTTCCCAGATGCAAGAGATTACCAAAGTCTCAGAACGGACACCACCGTCTCATGTCCAAACTCAGCAAAATCAGGGTGCACAAAGTGGTAGTGGGGCTTCTTCCAGTGGCAGTCCACCAAAATTGACCCGTGAGCGAGTGGCATTTCCTCCGCGAAGGAGACTCTTCAGTCGTCCAGATGAAGAGCCTGGTGGGGGTGTCAGTGGGGGTAGTGTGTGTATAAGCAGTGGAAGTGGCTCCCTGGCACCACCCAGAGACTCATCGGGATTGCGTAGTTCCTCTGAGACATCTGTGTTTGATTTCCGCGATAGCGACTCTGAAGGTGAAATGCCAGTACTTGAAATGCAGACCCTTGGTGAGATGAGGAGAGACAGAAAATCACACACAAAACACCAGACACAGGCAACCTCAGTTTCAGTACCTGAAGTGATTGAACTCTCTGAGGAAGGGGTGATGGATGCTCCTGCTGTGACTGACATGCATAAAGATACAGAATCTCGACCATTGTCTCCGCTTGATCCTTCCTGGTCTGCTGCCTGTGATAAGTTCCTTGAACAGCTCCAAATGGGTGTTGCAAAAAGAAAATGCCGTCGGAAGAAAACTGTTGCAGAGCTGAAAGCTGTTCCAAATAAGGTTGATGATAGATCTGAAACTATTGAAATGAAGCTAGATGTTGTGGAGGATGAAAAGAAGATTGGCAAGACTGAAGGAAAACAGGAAGTCATAGAAGAAGATGATAAAAATAAAAGCGAGAAAAAGAAAACTGAGAAGCTTGTGGTGAAAGAAAAGAAGCAAAAATTTGAAGACTCTGATGAAGATGTTCCCCTCATTAAGCGTAGAGGACGACCAAAGAAAAAGGACAGTAGTGATGGTGATGTTGAAGATGAGATTAGCTTAGCTGAGATAAAAGCACGACTTGGAAGGGCAGATAAAAGTGCTTCAGTGGAAGTACCTGTACATGTTGGGATTAGAAGTAGCAGGAATAGCAGCAGCAGCAGTAGCAGTAGCAGTAGCATTGGCAGTAGTGATGATGAAGAGGATGAGGAGGATAGTGACAGTCATGAAGAAACAGTTGCAGAAAGATTGAGACGCAGGAAACGTCAGGGTAAGGAAGGAAATGATGAAGATGGTGGAGAATCCATTGGAATGAGACTCCGTTCAAAGGCTCTTTGCACACTGCAGAAAGGGAGATCAAGTGACAAGGAAAAACGAAATGAATCATCTGGAAAATCAGGTTCTAAAAAGAAGAAGCCCCAGTTTGGAGACGGCTCAGATTTTCGACCAGGCTGGGAGGAGGAGGTCTATCGCTTTAAACGCTCTCTACGCATGCCAGCACAGTTGATCAACATTCCACGTCCTCCACATACACATAGGCTGTCAGCATCATTACCAGATTTGGACCCATATCCCAATTCTCCTGCAGCTTCTACTGTGGATTCTGCAGATTTTACATTACAGCGTCGACACTTACGTCCTGGTGGTTCTCTTGACCGTCGTCATGGTGCATGGAGTTCTGTGCGTAGTGATTTACTTGACAGTGATCTTGATTCTAGTTCAAACTTGTCTACTGCTTGGCATCATGTTCGTAGGAGAGATGACTTGGGTGGCGATTCTGAGGAAGCAACTTCATCTACAACAGTGTCAACTAAGCTCAAAAATAATGCAAATATTGACAATAACAATTCAATACTGAACTTTCTAGTGCGTAAATACAGTCATAGTAAGTCTCCTTGCAAAAAATCTTGTGCAAAGAATTCGCTTTCAGAACGTTCTGGTCTTCGCATTATTCCCCGTTCTTCTAGTGGATCTGAACTTTTGCCTACTCCTAGTCTTGGTATAGGACTTAAAAAGTCACCTAGTTCCAAGGTAGACAATAAAAAGGTTAACTTGCAAGTTAAGAAACACAAAAGTAAAATGGACACTAGGGAGTCGAAAGGTGAAAAAGGACCTGTCTGTGATATTAAAGAGTCGGTGTACTTGGGCTATTTCAGAAAGAAGACTGTGACAAATTTCCGTGATGCATTTCGTCAAAATGGTGGTATTCTTGCAGAAAAATTTGCGCCTATTGTATTTAAATCCCGAACACGAACTCAGACCCGAGTGTTACGACAGCGTGCAACTATACGTGAAGTGTTTGGTGACCATCGACCAGCTTCTGCCCCTCCAATATGCCACGAAGAAAGAGAGCATATTCAACAGAGTGAAAACTCAGAATGGAGAAGAAGATCTCTCAGAGAAGACACTGGTATAATGGGCAAGAATCGGAGTTGTACAATAACTGGTGGCCGACCAGGTTTACGTAGTGCTGGCTTAAGGCGTAGCAACAAAGCAGTTCTTAACTCTAAACGTCACCTGTTACGTCGAGACCATGATCTATTGCGTGCAATGGGTTCAAAGAAACCCTCTTTCAAAAATACTTCTAGAAATCTTGGTTCTGTTGAACCAGTTACATTTGTTCCTCCAGTGTCTAGGGAAAGAAGTGTCACCAACGCTTCAACAGCAGCATCACCACTACCTTCATCAACAAGTCATCAGATGGAAGATGGTATGGTACCGCCAAATGGTAAACGCATCAAACTACGTTCTGTAAGACGCAAGTTTCGATCTGGGTTTGACTACATCCGTAAGAAGAAGAAGCAGCAGAAAAGGGAAGGAGATGCAGAAGGAAATAAAGACAAGAAGAAGGTATTGCTTTCATAAAGTCTTGACTATTATTTTATTTTATACAATGACAGAGAGGTGGCACACAGTAGTGTAGTTTGTTGAGGCATTATGCTACAAGCCAGAAGGTCGCGGGTTCAAGTCCTGATGAGGTCATTGGATTTTTTCGATTGACCTAATCCTTCCAGCCGCACTATGGCCCTGGTGTCGACTCAGCCTCTAACAGAAATGAGTATCAGGAATATTCTTTGAATATTCTTGGGGGTAAAGGGCGGCCAGCATGTAAGGCTGACAACCTGGCTGCCATCTATGAGCCCATTGTCTAGAGAATGTGGGAACCTCAACATCTCACAACCCTTTAGGCTTCCACGGCCTGTTACAGGGATACCTTTACTTAATGACAGGGCTTCATTTAACAAAAACACCAGGATTCATTTGAGCTATAATACAGTACGTTACATGTTTTGATTCTTAAATTATAGAATAAGAAAGTTTTAAATATCTGTTCTGCTGTAGAGACAGTGGTGGAGTGGGATGTTCACAGAAGTGTTGGCCAGATCATGAGACAGAGGGAGGTTATGAAAATTTTTGCAGTTGGACATTACATGTGCTAAAATCTTATCTGGCAACAGCTGTGTTAGTCTTTAAAAGTCAACATTTCAGAGGTCTTCTCCACCTAAAACATTGGATTTAAGTTAACGTTAACACAGCTGATTGCCCTAAAAGATTTTATTACACAAAAACTTTTAAATCTTACATAATTGAGTATATACATTGCACAAGATAACAGTGCAATTTTGAGCAAAGAGATCAGTTATGGAATAAAAGAGGACTGAAATGTAAATAGAAAAACTGACTAGGGACTACTAAGCATATCGTTTTTATTACATCTTATACTTCAGTTTCATGCAAATGATTCTTTAGTGAAATATATATCACAGAGGCATGGAAGTTCAGACTCTCTTCTGGATCTTGAAGAATTTTCTTCTCACTTGACATTACTGATGATCTATTGAGTCTCCCTTGAGTCGTATGCTGTATAAGTAATTGTGGTCCCTCTTCAAAGCAGAGAATGACAATTCACCATATGCATTGGTTGTTGGAATAGGCAATAACAAGGCACATAATTTTGTGACTTCTGGTAATGTTGTGTTCAGCCCTGAAGCAGTGAGCATTGTAGCTGAAATATACGAGTATGTATGTCTGGCAAAAAAATGATGGAAAGTTTGGCCTTCAGAAGAAGAGAATCAAAATACCATACATATGATTTCAGTGACTCACAAGCATTAACTGGAAACTTTTCAGAGTAGAGTTTCAAAAGTCATAAAATTAAGCAAAAACATTAGTTTGAGAATTTCGGAGATACAGTTGGTAAGCTATCCCTTCACAGTACAGCTGGTGATGAGTTGTTGTTCAGTATTAATCACTGAAATTTGTTTTCCCTTAACTGAAAATTGTGGCAATTTTTGTCTCCTTTTATGAAGATTAAACCTTATTTACACTGCTAGGCTTCTCCATTGAAAAGAATTCTGAAGTTCTTTCACTTTTAGAAACTGCAAATGATGTTGTTACTTTTGGTTTGCATTCAAAATACTAATTGGCTATAGTGATATTCCTGAAAATAATTTCAAATAAAAATTGAAGTCAGGATCTTGAAGAACATTATGATGCTGTTAAATAGAAATGTGAGTTTCATCTTTCCATTTTTGCTCGCTTGATTCAGTTGCCTGCATATTTTATGAACACCAAGCAAGTGAAGTGTGTTAACATTTCTCCTCTGGCTAACATGGTACCTTGGAATATGGATCATCGCTGCTTGAATGTCATGCACTCCCACCATCTATAAAGCTTGTATTGTATTGTATTTATTAGTCCACCATAGATCCATAAGAAATTACAATTTCAGCAGATGTAGTTACAGTCAATAAATATATACAGTCAGCCTTGCAAAATTGTACTTGTCCAACAAATACATGACAGAAAAATAATGAGATCAGCTGTGCAATAGGGCACATTGTCTAACAAAAATTTCCCTAAATTTGTACTAAATTCTGTCTCTTCTGATTACACTTGCACTCAGAAGCAGCTAGTGTAAGCTGTAAGGATATTGCTAACAAGCCCATGATTGAGTGCATGGAGATTGTTTCCCCTGCCAGTATGTGAAGTACCACTGAACCATGAAAGTAATGTAATTATATTATTTTTTAAAGTGTTAGCCAGGCTAACACAGTTAACATGAACACTCTGCCACTGTGTACAGAGATCCACTTGATGCACATTTAAATATGAATGTTTTACCAAGTGAAGTGTACTGAAGGTGAGTCGTTTAAAGAACTTCAGCAGTTGTTTTTCACAGAACTGTAGAGGCGATATTAATGTTATTTCTAACTTTAGATGGAGTGAGAAAGTAGTGGTAATGTACCTATATCTATATATAGAAATGCTTTAAAATTAATAAGACATATCTTTTACTTAGCCAAGGAAGATTAAGTGAATGTTACAGAATAGTGGTTAATAATCCTGCTACATATTTTGGATACCTCTGAGTTTGTATCTTAACAGTTATCATGCTTAAAGTAGTGTTATATGGTTTTCCTTAGTTCCTACAAGAAAATGCTGGGATGGAAGTTACAAAATATTCCATAACTGCTTCCATCAATGATAATCATCCTGTTTTTCTTTACTCTGTAACTTATGCCATTGACTTATCCTTTGTCAGTAGTTCAGACTCTGTAATATTGGTGGTAGGATGAGTAATGAACTATGAATTGGAAAGAATGTGGAAAGAAGCAGTCATAGCCTAATTTGAGGTGCTACCACAGCATTTTCCTGGAGGGACTAAGGAAAACTGCAAGATCTGTCAGGATGGTGACCTTAAGGCTGGAATTTGAACCCTTGGAGCTCTCAGATATGAAGCAAGAATGCTGTCCTCTTAACTATGATGTTGGGGTCATGCAGTTGATAAAAAATTGTGCCGTAAATAAACAAAACAGTTTCAGAAAGATGGAAGTCCCAGCTTTCCTGACAGGTTTTTCTCAGCCCCTCTAATCAAGTGCTGGGATAGTATGTTACATTAGGCAACAGCTACTTCCTTTAATTGACACACTTAGCCCAGTCTTGAGGCTTCCCATGCAGGCATCCAGGTTTTTGCAATTGTATTGGTAAGGGTTCCTGTAATATTGACATTTCAGTAAGATTTCTTTTATATGCTGGTTTCAACTGTTGCATCAGTACTCTGTGTTGAGAGCCATCTGCCAGCTGTAGCATAAACTACAAGGAAATCTAAACCCTCTGTTGTTTTGAAGTTTTGTGGCTGGGCATGTAAGACAGGAAAAGGTATGCTGGAAGTTTCTGAATCTGTGAAGAGCTTATGGTTTGGTCTCAGACTGGACTAAACCATGTTATTAGACTGTTTATTTGCTATTGTCAAATTGTGTTTCCTTGTGCTCAGGGTACATTCCCAAGGCCAAGTTCTGAGTCAGTTCAAGACATACAGACAGAAATTCGTGGCTGGGTGATCAACAAAGGGTTAGGAGAGACTCTATTACACCGAGCAGCTAGACTTGGATATACGGTATGTGTATTGTAGAGAAAGAGTTAATTATTTTACTGTTAGTGAAAAGTATATAACTGTATGTAGGTATAAATTCTAGCTGGACCTTTTAAGCCAAACAGTAAAAATAGAAAATATGTATGTGGATGTTACATTTTTGAAGCTGTCACTTGTTTTTGTATGGCTCTGGGATTGACTCAGCCTCTAACAGAAAGGAATACCAGGAATCTTCCTGGGGGCAAAGGGCAGCTGGTGCATAAGGCTGACAAGCTCACTGTCATCTGTGAGCCAGTTTTCTAGAAAATTTGGGAGTCTTGATGTCTCACAATCCTGTGGGCCTCCACAGCCTGTTATAGGGATATCTTTGTCCTTATAAGATTTTTCAGTTAATTTGAAATTGAGCATGATGACATAAATGTTGCCTTTGTTGATATTTATACTTGTTCTACCAGATGAGAAAGTGAACTAGATATATGAGTAAACTGGCAATGTTAATAAGATTATCATTATAATTTATTAATAAACACCTGGCTAAGGTGATATTGACCTAGACTGATTCATTCGTGTGTTACGACGGATCCCAATAAACACAACAGGATGCACCCAATGAAAAATACTGTATAAAGTGTACACTGACCAGAGTTAACATCTTTGTTAATTGGTGACTACTATGGTTATCCATCTGAGAATAGTTTTATATTGTAATACTCATAGCAAAACAGCTAGATCCACTGCTGAGGATTCTGATGAAAGTAAATGTAAAAATGTCACTGTCTAAAGCTGCACATTAAGAAAAGTTTGGAGGTTAACTTCTGTGATGATGATAATAAATCAAATGCATACATAGTTTTTCCCAAGTTTGTGCTACTTGTAAAAAATATTGTTGAGCTTGGGTTGGGGTTGTGCAGTGCTAGATGGTTGCATTTGTTGGTTTTTCGTAATTGTTTTGTGATATTTGATTTTTTTTTTACTTTACTTTACAGGATGTGGCTGCATACTGCCTAGAAAAATTAGACAACCCACCATCACCACGTGACAATGCAGGCTATACCCCTCTTCATGAAGCATGTTCTCGAGGCCATTTGGAGATAGCCAGGCTCCTACTCATGTATGGAGCTAATGTTAGTGATAGTGCCCTTGGAGGAATCAGGTAATTTTGTAAATGCTCCTGTTAAGTGGCAAATGTATGAACAGGTAGTCAGTTGTGCCTAAGTGCTAGGAGAATGATTTGTTGAAATCAAAGCCAGAGAATATCACTCCTTACTCTAAAAGCAAGACCACAGCTCAGAATGAAATTATTTATATGTAACATAAAAGTTTATCAACACATTCCATTAAAAGTAATTTTATACTCAAGAAGTAATGAACTGTACAAATCAAGTTCTTAATAGCCTTTAATGAAAGATAAAGGTTTTCTTTGTATACAAGTATAGACTCTACAGTCTGTGAAGATAATGAAGAACATCTTGAACAAAAACTATAAAGAAAAATGAAGCGCACATATTATGTCCAGTGATCTTTTTTGTACACTTCTTGTACATCATCATCATCCACAGCACAATCTTCTCCTCATCGCTTAAATGTCTTTGTGCATTATTTTTCACCCTAGATACATCTAAGCTTGAATATGTCTCTGTTGTTTGGAATTCTATTGTATCTGCTGATGTCAAAAAACAAGGACATATCCAGTAGAAATTTGCAGTCCTTTCTTTTGTTTCTTTCCCCTGTGTCCATTAGAGTTATGCTTTAAGAGTACTTGAAATTGTGCACCTTACACGGAGCGGTACACCTTGGTGCACTGACTGTTGTTACCCAAGTTTACCTTGGCTCTAAATTCTGTCCTTCTCTTTTGGAAACTGCTGATCTTTGAGTTCCTGCTCAGTATGTCAGAGAATATTCTAGTTTCAATGTCTGCTTTCAAGTAAAAATTGTCCTTTTCTTAGATGTATTTTAGCTACTACCGTTGAATGTAAGGATACTGATGTATATGGAACCAAAACTGTTCCACTTAATCATATTTTATAACGGTACTCCCATAATTATTAAAGTGTTAATTGTATTCAGTATGACAATATTTTTTTTTCTTGCCACATAATGGTTGGTATGGTTGCACTGACTGATGTGTTACAGAAAGAGTATGAGATTGCCATGTTTCGTCTTTTGTTTCTTTGGTTGGCATTGCTTTATAATTGGCCTTTGGGCTGTTGAGTATATGTATATTCACATGTTATATTGTATTGCCGACTTGTTCTATATCTGAGGCAGACACCTCCATGGATTTTGTAGAACTGCAAATAAATGAATGAATGAGTAAGCATATAAGTAAATGAACAATAGTATGGAATTATTATTTTCTTTCTTGTGTTGCACATTTTGGTGTTTGCTTAAATAGGTCACTGCTGTTTGCAAGCACTAATAAATTAACTTCATTATTATTATTATTATTGTTCTTCTTTCCTTTTTGAGATCACTGTTTGGCGTTTTCATTGTTATTCTGTTGTTGTTGTCATCATCATTGTCCTCATTGTTGCTGCTGTATTTGTTATTGTTATGTGTTGTGTGTGCATCTATGTGGAGCAGTTTTGAATGTACTGAGTTGCATAATGCTGTGTTTACTTTAATAATGAACTTTATATTGCATACGAGGCTTGGAAATTTATATCCTTCAAACAATAACTCTTACAAGAGTTTGCATCATTAAGCACAGTTGTAGCATATCATCAGATGGCTGTTTCAATATTTCTTGCAGAAGAACATGTAGAAAGTTCCACTTTTTATAGCCTCTCATTTTCCTTTGAGTCTAGACTAGTTTGCATTAGTTTCTGTATTAGTAGTTGTGAGTTAAATGGGGATAATCTGAACAATATAAGACGTGAAACCAGCAGGCATTTCAGGAAAAAAAAAAAGGGAATATCTGAAAGACAAAATTGATGAGTTTGCAATGAACAGTAAGAACAAGAACATTAGAGACCTGTATAGAGGAATAAATGACTTTAAGAGGGGTTACCAGCCTACCAGTAACTTAGTGAAGGATGAGAATGGTGATCTGCTTGCAGATTCCCACAACATTTTGAATAGGTGGAGGAACTACTTTC